GGGAAGGGTTCTGTAGCTTGGGGGAGAGCTCTCTTAGAACGTCCTGTGTCATTAGGAGCAAACCTCTCTGTTTGCACAGTTTTTCTTGGGAAGCCCAGTGGCTTGGTTGACCTTGCACCTTGAACGTTGAACTGCAGCTCCTCCATCCTGCACCTCAAGCGCGGATCACAGCCCCAGCCGGTAGCAATCCTCAAATATGACTTCGTGAGTGAGTGGAGCACTTGGTGAAAGCCGTCATTGGGTCCACCTGCTGCCCCAAAGCCGCCAGGGATTGGGGTCTCTGACAAGCCATTCATAATCTCCTTGCCAACAGCATGCCACTGTCTTAAACAAGAATGAGCTTTGCCGTAGCTAGACAGAATTGGGCCTTCACTCACCATCGTTACCACACTTAGAACGTAGATAATGTGCGCAAGAAAAAATTAGAATAGTATATTTATATACATATCTCTACCAAATATATATATATATAAATGACTAAAGGCTGCATGGCACAATGTTGTGTTGAGCTGACCACTTCTTCTGAATCCGATCAAAGGTCCTGCTCATGTGGGCACCAGCTTGGTCAAGCATGATTAGACCACGATGACTTGCTGTCAGCCCCAACTGTCGTCTTCTCAGTCTGAATTCCTGCAAGTTTGTCAGAGCTTGGTACTGCATAGGCGGCTTCACACTTTGTGGAATCCATACATAGAACATAGGTGGAAAAACACACCTCGTAAAGAAATCATTATCGGTGAATGCTTGTTTGGAATCCGGCCTCAGCTAGAAAGTCGAGATATAGGATCAACGACTCCTGGTTCCAAACGTGAGTCTTGGCTTGCAGCTTCTCAATGAAGATGTACTTTCCTAGTTCCTGGTTCAGCTTTTTGCGAAGATCTTCTGGAATGGTGCCACTTTTCATTGTGAGGTAAGCTCTGCCCACAAATCCGTCTCGAAAAGACAATGTGGTCAAAGTGCGCGGTGTCCGCCACTCATCAACAACCGCAGTGGCGGCAGGCCCGCCTGTCACTTCAACAGGCTTAATCTCTTTGTTCCGCTGTGGAACTCCAGGATCTGGCTCTGTAAGCTGCATGTCTAGAGCACGCTCTATATTGTGACGGATTTGCCTCAAAGCCTTTGATTTGGCCAAAGGATCTTTGGCCAGTCCTTTTGCGCTCGCTGGCTTTTGCAATGTTTTTCTGTGTGGTCTGAACAACAAGGTCCATACCTGATCCGCATTCGCTATCAGCCTCGGGTGTATACCCTTCTCCTCTGCCTGTTGGGTGACATACGTTCTCACCGCCTCTAAGCTTGGGTGACTGAACGGCAAGTGTGCACCCGGTTTCTCATTGGATCGCATTCTCAGACCAAATCTGTTGCATATGCGCTGCGCTTGCTTCCTAGTATGATCGAAGTTCCGAGCAGGCAAAAAGTCCATCACTTCAAAAAACAAATATATATATATGTAATTATACATTATACATTATACACTCACGCACGCACAAACACTTAGAACATATTTTGCTTGTTTCTTCCCAAAGACCTGCAAGTATATCACTTAGTCAGCAAATGCCCATAATCTTCTCGCAGGGCGGTATGTATGTTCTAAGTGTATGTTGTCCGCAGGCCTGGAAGCATTTGTGTATGTACATGTATAGAGGTTAAATGATGATAGTTTGCGTACAAGTTGCAATACAGCTCCATCCGTCTCCGTCAAGTGGATCGGCCGCATGATCTCTGTGGCTTGATCAAGCATCTTCTTGCACGCCTGCTCCACCTCCTTTGGACTCATATTTGCCAATTCCTGGTCACGCTCTTTCAAAAAGTCTAGACCTTTGGTCTCCAACAAAGAACGGATTGAGGCGATGCTGTCGTTCCATACATCTGCGAGATACAAAATCAGGTTCTTCACATAGACCATGGAAACTTCCTCACCCAATTCTATCCTCTCCATTGTCATAGACTCCACCACCTGCTGGAACACCTGTGGAAGAAAAGCCCTTTGCTTGCCTTTGAATCCATCCGGCGCCCACTTCAAGGCCTTCATGTTCAGCATCAGACGCAAGGAATTTGGCAATTCCTTGTGCTTCGCACACAGCGCCGGCGCTGTCATGGTCAAAAGGTCCCACTTCTGGGCAATCCTTGCCTCTCCCCACTTTGATTTGAACATGCATCCTGCAAAGTAGCCTGGCATTTTGGATACTGCCTCAAGAGCAGCCTTCGAACCATCTCTGGCCTTCACATCTTCAAATTTTTTGAAAATTGCTGTCTTCTCAGCAATTGTGCACATCTGTTTCTTTCCTTTAGCGACCTTGTTGCCCACACCGCCAAATCCCCTTCCTTTCTTCACACCTTTCTTGGGCTGAAAAGAAAGGAGACTCGGACTTTGCTTTCCACGGATGCGCCTGCATGGTACTAACGGTTGTTCTCCCTTGCAAGGTACAGCTGGCTGGTCAGACAGGTCACCATCATGTTGAACAAGAGCTCGTTTTTTTCCTCGTGCTTGGCTTTGTTCATCAAAGTTGGCGAGCTGGAGTTCAGGTTGCTTTTCTTCGGTTTCCTGCCTGACAATCGCAGAGGTGCCACCTTGTGGAGCTGCATCCATCTGAGTCCAAGAAGAAGATGATGCCAAAGCTGACAAGAACATGGCTTGCGCCACTGTAGATGGAAAGCCGTTTCCGGCTAGATCCTGCGCCAACTTGTCGTTGTTTGCCATGCGGTCAAATGCCTCTTTGTTTGGTGAGTCAATCCTCCACACACCTTGAACTCCAAGCATTTCTATGGGAAGAAGATAACGTTTCAGTGAAGCTGCGTAGACATTGTGCTCGGGGGTGATGCAGGTAGTCACATCTTGCGCAAATTCACTCCGCTGATACGATGAGCTGCAGTCAACAAAGACATTCTCTCCCCTGCCAGCCTGCAGGTGTTGCCAAACAATATATATATATACACATACAGTATACACATAATCTATAATATATATATACACAGAAAAAACAGGTTTGCTTTCTGGCATTGGGGAATGACACCAAAGACTCCTACAGTGTCCAAAGTGATGTCCACATATTATGTGCAGCGTGTGTGTTTTTTTTGCTGACGAGTAACTGTGATTGATGTATTGACTGCATCCGACACCAACCAGGACTCACGTGGATTACGCGGTGACTCTGAAGGCAAGTCTTGCAGGAATGTCTCCTCCATCTCGAAATGGAGATGTGATTGAAGGCTTTCGATGGTCCTAGAAAAGGATTTCTGAAAATCATCTTCACAATAATCACCTGTATTGCAAACTGCACAGCCCCAGATTCTGTTTCTCCGTTGGCGAACCAAGAAATTCTGCGAGTCCAAGAGTTGCCACGCCTATAGTGTTGAGTCACTTAGAACATCCCCACACGTAACCATAGTGAAGACAAAAGAAAAAGTGAACCTGCTAACAAAACAGATAGAAGTTCTGCGAGTCCAAGAGTTGCCAGGCCTATAGTGTTGAGTCACTTAGAACATCCCTGTAACCACAGTGAAGACAAAAAAAGAATAAAACTGCTAACAAAACAGTTTCCCTGCTTGTGTGGTGTAGATATAAATATACACTTGCTATATTGTTGCCACCTGGTTGCAAAGTGGAACCCAGCAGCATGTGAATCCTCTTGAACCACATCAATGGGTCGACGGTGAACATTGCCATGCTGATCTTTAGCTCTCTCAGCTGCTGTCTTGACATTCTCATAGAACATAACCGTTGGTGCCAAGTTCTGCAAGACCTAAACTGCAAAACACTTTAGAAAACAACAAAATCATCAGCACATACCTTACTATTCAATCCTATATCGACTAAAAGCGCAGGCTGGAATAAGATAATTGTATAATATAAAGCATACAAGAACTATTTAACCAAAGCTCCTGCTTTCCATCCATGCTCATACGTGATGCGCGAGCTTCCGCTTTCATGAGCATCATCTTTGTCGTAGCATCCGGCGTGATGAGCCCTAGTGGTCTTCAAACGGCCTGATGTGCAACTTTCCAAATGAAATTAGTTACTTGCCACTATCTACATAACCACATTGTATTTACGTCAACTTTCCTGGAGAAAGGTTGAAACATGTTGAAACTACTTCCGCAGCATTCATCACCCTGCAAAGAAAATAGAATTAAGTCTGAATCTAGGGCACTCAAATCCTTGCAAGACGGTCCACAAAAGAATATATGGATGTCTAGTGTCTCAGCATCCATGGAGTGCTCCCGCTTGCAGACCCAACAATACCCAGCACCATGCGAGAACCCACGCACATCGCCAAAAATGTGTTCAACCTGAAACGACTCCATGATGTAGTTTCGCTTGGCCTCATCAACTTCCGCACTGAACACATGCTTCATGCGGATGTCCACCTAGGCTTCAGTGTCAGGAAGTTGACATGTCCATTGGCAGAATGCGCACTTAGAACATTACGTTTGTCTACGTGTGTGGAGTGCGTTGGCCTGACAACATACTCGCAAGTACTGAGTGTGTATATATATATATGGAAACAAAATATTATATAAACATTTTGTATCTTTGAGGCAGCCCACCTGGAACTCTTTGTTGATAGCCTCAAGCATTGCTTGCACTGCAACCACACAAATGTCTGACCCCGAGCAAGCTGTTCCAATCTTCAGAGTCTTCCCATCCAAATTCTGAGCTGCTTTCTGCACCATACCGTAGGCGCGAGAGCGCAACATCCGCAGAAAGAACTCTGATGTGGCGTACAGTGATGGCTTCGGAATGCTCAGCTTAGATCCACGAAGCAAGCATTGTTTTCTGCACTCAAAGTGTCGATTCCTGAACTTGTTGTTAGTAAACCTGATTGCCTTGGCTTCCACTCTTGATATATCTTCTACCATCCACACGTATATTTTGCAGTCTGGATGTTGCTTCCTTTTGCTGTACCAAAGCTTCTTCTCATCCACATTCATGGCGTACGTTTGAATCTGATTGTTGTAGACCACCTGGACAAGGTCAGTGAACATCACATACCGACATGCACACACACACATATATATATATATATTTTACACAAACTTTGAAACTCTCTTGACTTGGTGTCCCTTGGGTCTTGGGGTTGATGCACTTGAAACTTTTGATATTTTGGCACCTCTAGGCAATCAACGATCACAATACTGCCGACATACAAGAATTGTTGACCACCCTTCACGCTCACGATGATATGGAGGGTGTGCGGAAGCTTGGAAATAGCATAGGTGCGCAGCAACCACTTTCCTCCCGAGTGAAGCCATTGCTCCCAATGATCATTGGTGAGCATCATGCACTTCACCATTGTCTCGTCATCTTCACCGCTGCTGCTCCGCTGCGGCTGACTGCCTGAAGCCTCTGGTAGTTGCAGGCTGTCATTGCTGCTCTGCCTGCTTGTTGTGTGTGATAGGTCCTCATGGCTGCTGCTCTTCGGCTGCTCACTGCTTTCTTCATTTTTAGAGTCCATAGACTCTTCCTGGTTACTGTCGCATGCACGGCATTGTTCATTGGGCACCAAGAAGGCAGTTTTGTTCTTCTTAAATTCTGGTCCCACAATGTCCGTTGAGCCATTTGCTGCAAACTGTCTTTTGTTTCCCTGCCCCTTGCCTTTACCTCTGGCTGCACTAAGATGTTCGTCCACCACTTGTTCTGCGGGTCGTGCTGACTGCTTGGATGTGTGTGGTGGAATGCAAGGCTGGTCATGTTCTAAGTGCTTGCGCTCACTAGCTCCTGGCATGTCTTGGTGCTGGTCTGCCATTGGTGCTGATGCTTGCGGTGATGTGCTAAGTATTTGTTCCTTTGCTGGTAGTGCTTGTTGTGCCGGCTGCTCGGGTGCTTGTGCTGGAGTGCCACGGCGTTCATCATCCACTTCTTCTGCAGGTGGAGTGCCATTCTGGTCATGTTCTAAGTGCTTGACCTCACTAGCTCCTGGCATGTCTTGGTGCTGGTCTGCCATTGATGCTTCATCGCCCGGTGATGCTGCTTGTTGTGATGGAGGGCCACCGTCTCCATCACCCCATGATGCTGCTTGTTGTGCCCCTCTGGTCACTGGTCTTCGCGCAGGCTGAAAGAACTCTTCATCTGATGATGCTGGTGATGGCGATGGTGATCTTTGGATTCTATTCCATAGATATATTGAAAATTCTTCGTCAAAGTCAGGAAGCCCGCGTCGACTTGTTGTGCGTGACCTTGCAGTGGTTTTTGCTACTGCACTGTGTTGTGATGAAGCAGTCTCCGCTGGACCTGCTTGTGGCTGCTGCTCACCTGATTGTTCTGCTGGTAGTGCTTGGGTCTTGGATGTTGATGATGGAGCGCCACCTTGTTCATTGCCCGGTGATGCTGCTTGTTGTGCAGGCTGCTCGGGTGCTTGTGCTGGAGTGCCAAGGCGTTCATCATCCACTTCTTCTGCAGGTGGAGTGCCAGGCTGGTCATGTTCTAAGTGCTTGACCTCACTAGCTCCTGGCATGTCTTCGTGCTGGTCTGCCATTGGTGCTGATGCTTGCGGTGATGTGCTAAGTA